TTTGGGTTATTGTGGATCGGCTAACCATGTTCGTGCACTTCATTCCTGTGTGTACTACCTATTCTTCGGAGCGGTTGGTGGAGATTTATATCCGGGAGATTTTTCGTCTGTACGGTATTCCAGTTACCATCATTTCAGACAGAGGTACTTAGTTCACATCATGGTTCTAGAGGGCCGTACAGCATGAGTTGGGTATTGGGTGGAGTTGAGCATAGCATTTCATCCCCAGATAGACGGACAATGTGAGCACACTATTCAGATTCTTGAAGATATGCTCCATGCGTGTGTGGTGGAATTTGGAGGTTCTTGGGATCAGTTCTTTCTACTGGCGGAGTTTGCCTACAATAACAATTATCAGTCCAGCATTCAGATGGCACCGTATGAGGCTTTGTATGGTAGGCAGTGTAGATCCCTGGTGGGTTGGTTTGAGCCAGGTGAGGCTAGATTACTGGGCATAGACTTGGTTTAGGATGCCTTAGAGAAGGTTAAGGTGATTCAGGATAGACTCTGTACAGCCCAGTCCAGACAGAAAAGTTATGCGGACCGGAAGGTTCATGATGTTTCCTATATGGTTGATGAGCGGGTCTTGCTTCGGGTTTCGCCTATAAAGGGGGTTATGAGATTTAGGAAGAAGGGGAAATTGAGTCTAAGGTTTATTGGTCCTTTTGAGGTATTGAGACGTGTTGGGGAGGTTGCTTATGAGCTTGCCTTACCTCCCATCTTGGCAGAGGTTCATCCAGTATTTTATGTTTCGATGCTCCGGAAGTATCACGGTGATCCGTCACACTTGTTGGATTTCAGTTCCGTCCACTTAGACAAGGATCTATCTTATGTTGAGGAGATAGTGGCGATATTGGACTAGTAGGTTCGAAAGCTGAGCTCAAAGAACATCGCATCAGTGAAGGTTTAGTGGCGGGGTCAGCCGGTCGAGGAGGCGACTTAGGAGACCGAGCAGGATATGCACACTCGTTACCCTTATCTTTTCACCACTTCAGGTATGTCTCTATGCTCGTTCGAGGATGAACAAATGTTATAAGAGAGGGAGGATGTAACGACCTACCCGGTCGTTTTAAGAATTAACACCCCGATCCTCTATTAACTACTTTCCCCGTGTTTGTTTCTACTATTGTGAGTTGCTGGGAGGATTCATTTTGAGTTTCGGAGTATTTTGGGACACTTAGTTCCCAAATGAGAGTTTAAGCTTTAGAATTTGGATCGTAGTCAGAGTAGTGTAAAGACAGCCTCGGAATGGAATTCCGTCAATTTCGTTAGTTCCGTTGGGTGATTTCGAGCTTAGGGGCGTGTTCGGATTGTGTTTTGAGGGCCATAGCTTATTTAGGCTTGAAATGTCGAAAGTTGAATTTTTGAAGTTTCCGGATCGATAGTGAAATTTTGATATCGGGGTCGGAATCCGATTCCAAAAGTTGAAATAGCTTCGTAGTGTTGAATGTGGCTTGTGTGCAAAATTTGGGGTCAATCGGACTTGGTTTGGTTGGTTTCGGCATCGATTGTAGGATTCTTGAAATTTCAAGTTATTTAGGCTTGTATTGGAGGGTGATTCGTGGTTTTAGCGTTCTTTGATGTGATTTGATAGTTGGACTAAGTTCGTATGATATTTTAAGATTGGTTGGCATGTTTGGTTAAGGTCCTGGGGGCCTCGGGTGAGTTTTGGATGCTTAACGGAAGTTGAACTGGACTTAGGCTATTTTCTGAAGGTGATGCTTCTGGTATTTTCGCACGTGCGGTAAGGAGCCCGCAGATGCGAGGAAGTAGGCCGCAGGTGCGATTTGGGCACTGATGGCCAGTGACCGCAGATGCAGTTATAAGGCCGCAAAAATGGACCACATCTGTGGAGAAAGGAGTGCAGGTGCGGTATATGCCCGTTTAATGAAATCTCGCATGTGCGAGTCCCCAGTAGCAGAAGCAGGACCGCAGGTGCGGTCCAATGACCGCAGATGCAGAAATCGCTGGGCAGAAATATGAAATTTTGAGGTTTTGAAGCTCATAACACCAAATTTGATTTTGGCTCGAGAGAAGGTGTTTTTGGGAGGATTTTGAAGAGGAAATCAGTGGGTAACAAATTCTTATCCATTTCTAGTTGTATTCCATTAATCTAATCTTAGTTTTGTAATTTAATTTCGGATTTGGGGTGAAAAATTAGGAGAATTGAGGAAAACTTCCCCAACTTAAAATCTGAGTTTCGAGGGAGATTTTGGCGTTGGATTTTGATAATTTTTGTTCGAGTGTGCTCGTGAGTGAATGGGTGTTCATAATCCGTAACTTTTACCCGATTCCGAGACGCGCGCCTGGAGAGGACTTTGGGGCATTTTTTTTTATTTTATTACCTTAGCCTCGATTTGTTTAGCAAAATTAGTTGTTTGTAGTTGTATTTACGTTATGAAATTGATTTGAATAGATTTGGGCCACCCGAAGTTGGATGCTTGTGGCAAGAGCGTGGTTTCGGATTGATTTTGAGCTTGTTCGAGGTAAGTGGCTTGCCTAACCTTGTGTGGAGGAACTCCCCTTAGGATTTTGGTATTGTTGTTATATGAGTGTCGTGTACGTGAGGTGACAAGTGCGTACACGTGCTAATTGTTGAAAAACCTCGTTTTCATTAAGTAAATATCTATGTTTTCTTGTAATTGAGCAATACTTGTACTTAAAGCCTCTTGTTTAGTTTAGGAAAAGCATGCTTATGTGATCTAATTGTCTTATCTACTTTAACTGCTTACTTGTATTATGTGCAGCATGTTTAGAGTAGAATTCCTACTTATTCTCGAATAGAACTGTAGATTCTCTCTTGATACTTTTGTGTGTTTACTTTGGGACTATGGGAAGATATCCCGGGAGATCCCCCTGCATGTTTACTTTAGGACTACTGATCGGTATTCCAGGGATCCCCCTGCACGTTTACATTTGGGACTACGGGGCGGTACCCGGAGATTCTCCTGTACTGGATATTTACTTTGGGACTACGGATTGGTATTCCGGGAGATTCCCCTGCATATTTATGATTTGGACTACGGGACAATATCCCCAGAGATCCTCTGCACATTTACGTTCGGGACTACGGGACGATATCCTGGGAGATCCACTATTGCTATCTCTGTGTACTTAATATATTCTGTCTGTGATTTTACTATTTATCGACTGCTAGTAATTTTAATTATACTATCACACTTCATATTGTTTTACCTTGTTTTATATATATAACCAGTAGAGCCCTGACTTTCCTCGTCACAACTCGATCGAGGTTAGGCTTGGCACTTACTGGGTACCGCTGTGGTGTACCCATGCCCTTTTTTGCACATCTTTTTCGTATGTAGATCCAGGTTCTTCTGTTCAGCCATACCATCAATGAGGCGAGGCGACTTTTAGAGACTTCAATGTATATCTGTCACGTCCGCAGACCGAGGAGTCCCTCGCTATTCTCCATTTAGTTATAGACCTTCTGTAATTACTTTTGTTAGACTTTGGGAGTTCGAACACTGTGTATCTCCTCTAGTTTGTGATTCATGAGATTCCGGGTTTTGGGAGTGTTATTAATAGTCGAGGGTGTTATTATTGTATATGTCGAGCAGCATTCTAAATTTTCTCTATTATATTACATGTGACTTGCTAGTTTTGTATCTTTATTTCCTTTTTCCGCAATTTGTTAGGCTTACCTAGTCGTAGAGACTAGGTGTCGTCACGACAGTTCACGGAGGAAAACATTGGGTCGTGACAGTGACATCCCGATATCGGGAGTTTCTACGTTATGTTTTGGGTTTCTACCTTGTTTATGAGAATCTTTGTTATTTTAAAACTACTTTGGTGCATTTTCTGTTAAATGTTGGGAATATCTTAGAAATGTCGGCTTGCCTATTACCACGATAGGCGCCATCACGACAGGTTAGGTTTTGGGTCGTGACATGTTTATGGGTATATAAACACCTCTTATATACTATTGTACACTTTTATACACCTTTATACAAGAGTCTGTAGACGAATTTCTTCCACGATTTTCAGTTACAATTCTTGTTCAAACCCAGTTCAAATCTCCATTAAATGACTTCAAATTTTATATACAACGTCCTTATACTATTCTAACAAGTCTAAAGACACTCACTTTAAAATTCTCGCAAAATCAAATTCGAAATATAAACTCACTTATTTAAGTTTGCTCAACAATTGTGGACCAATCCAATCTTCATTAAATGACTTTAAATTTTGTATACAACCTCCTTATACTATTTTTAAACAACATTCACTCAAAATTTCTCATAAAACCATATTTGAAATTTTAAGTCACTTATACAAGCATGTTCAACAATGGTGAATTATCATAAAAATCTAATTTCACCACCCAAATAGATTTGGCTTATTGAAGTAATGTTTGAGTCACAATTACTTATTCGAAAATTAGATTTTAAGGTTGAGCATTTTTTTAAAAAAAATTGAATAGTAATTTCGAGAACCTATTTGGAGTTGGATGTGGAATCTTAGTCTATTGTTTTTGGGCTACAGTTTTGCAATGTTAAATATATGCCACTTAGTTGCAATATATGTATTAGTTGTATTTATGTATAATTCCCCCAAAAATACACTTAATGATTAATATCTGAATAATTAAGATTCACAATTCAAAAACAAACACACTTAATTAATATCTGAGGTTTGAATAATTAAGATTCAGACTTCCATAAATGCAAACAAACGAGGCCTAAGAGTCGCCCTGATCCGTCCCGTTGCCATTACCCACAAACTAATACCATTTTGCCCCGAGAGCTCCCCACCTTCTTCTTTGTGACATCATAAAATAGGCTGAAATTTGAAATATTTACGTTGACACTGAAACAAAACTTAAGAGACAATCAAGACTTCCTATCAAACAAATATTAATAGTTACATGCCATACCTAGCTTGGAAAACAAAATACAAGAAAATTCCTGTTCCTCAAAATTCTCAAGAAAGTAATCAAATTTCCCACACTCAATCCACCTAATAAGCCTTAGCAAGAATTAAAAGACATGAACATTTTTTGTCTTTGAGACAGCATGACTTCTACTTCTAGGAAACTTCAAATCATTCTTCACCAACATCATATTAACATCTTCTTGATCTCCTAAAACATAAGGTTTATCTTCATCAATTCTTCCCATTCCAACACTAACACTCCTCGGCACTTTTCTTGAAGGCATTTGTTGTTGCAATTGTTGTCTTATTTGTTGTTGTATGAGTAAATTCAGTTCGAAATTCTCTCCCATGCTCCTAGCTGATGCTGCTCTAACAAGATCTCTAAAATCTTCACTATCATTTGACCTTGACGATGTAACACTATAACTCTTTGGTAAACTCCTAGGATTTACTACAGCATAATTATTCATGCTTCCCACGTAACAATCTCTTGCTTTTATTAACGCTTTCCATGGTAATGCAATAATTCGCATGATTCTGTTCTGGCTGTGACTCCCTTTGCTCTTCATATTTGACTCTTTTTTTCTTCTTGTTTTTGGTTTTTGTGTGTTATGAGAATTAAGATAGAGCTAGCGTATAACTAGAAATTTATAAAGATATGAGAGAAATGTTGAAGATTTTTCGAGATGAATGGTTGTGAAGAGAAATTCTAGAAAACCAATTTGGAAAAGTAGGAGAATGAATGTTGAATGATCTTCTTTCTGTTTATTGGATTTGATGGTTTTTGTAGGAAAAGTATGAATTTGACAAGGGAGTGTGGACTTTTTCTCTAGCCCACCGGATAAGAATATAAGTATTATATTTGATTGGAATTAATTAAATGGATAAGAATTGACGCGTCAATAGTAAGTTTGGCAACATTTTGTTGACAGCTGATATTTTTCTCAATTTTAATTTTTAGGTTTTGAATTATTCTTCTTGTCCAATTAAGTCTGCCTGATGATTCAGCGTTCCCATCAATTTGATCTCAAATTGGTCTTTATTTTCAAATGTTTACACTGATAATTATGGAACACACCTTTTGGTTCAGATAATTGAATTGTTTGGTGACTATAATTAGTCCATTAGGTAATGAAGAAGATAACTTTATAACTTGTAACTTGAAGTTTTTAGAAGAGGAGCTTTGGAGCAACGGTAAAGTTATTTTCGTGTGACTTATAGGTCAGGGGTTCAAGCCGTGAAAATAGTCACTAATACTTGTATTAGAATAGCTAGGTTGTGTATATCACACATCTAAGGATACGTCTATTTTCCGGACCCTGTGTGAATTCGGAATATTTTGTGCATCGAATTGCTAGGCCTAAAGTTACCACTTGTATTAAGAATTAGGTATGCGTACACATTTACCCTTTCCAGGCTCCATTATGTGATATTACATTGGGTACGTTGTTATTGTTGTCATTTCTTTCATACCTTTCATATACTTTGTCAACAAAAAAAAATCTTTAAATGCGCCTACACCCCTAGTACTCCCAGAGGATAATGTTTACACCATAATCAGAAGTCACATACTCGCATTAAGAAAATTACTGCTAATTGAATTCTCTACTCTAGCAAGGAAGAAAAAGAAATGTGCAATTTATTTCTGTAATTCCTTCCTAAAACACAAATACCGTGGTCCGTGGCTGCCAAAAGGACAAATTAGCGCCTACGAAAGTTCCAATATAAAAACGACGGGCGCCCATCAAATCTGCCATGTTTTATATTTTACCCACAAAAACTAAATTAATTATCCTTATTTACCCATTAATTTTTTTACGCACCGAACTAATTATCTTTCCTATCCAGTACAATTTTTGTGGGTAACTGTTTCTTCTTTTTTTTCTCATTTTCTTTTATATTTCTCTGTTTTTCTTTTCTTTTCTTTTCTTTCTTTTCTTCTTTTTTTTTTTGTATTCATATATATTTTTTCCAAAATCATATTATTTTTATGTTCTTTATTTACCATAATCTAGTTTTATACACAATTTGGCTCGTTCTTTTCATTTTTTTATTTTTATTTTTCCGTCCTTTTGTTTAATTTTTCTAATTTCATTGAAAAAAAATTTAAAGTTTCTTTTTTCCCCATATTACTGTTTTATGTCTTCCGACAACTACTTCTTATATAATGAATAATATTTTCATGGGACAAAAGTAGGTTGTTGAACACCCTTCACTTCCAACCAATAAATTGTGAGTTCGAGTCACCTCAAGAGCAAAGTGAGGAGCTCTTGGAGGGAGGGAATAAAAAAGAAACGAATATTATTTTCATGGAACTCCATCAAAAATTTATTTATTTGCAAGGACCTAGTTGGAAAAATTTAAAAAGTAATAAAAAATAAATTATTTATTACGATATAATGTTATATTATATTGTATACTATAACATTATAATGTTATTATAACGATGGTTGTAGCTTTGCACAATAACACCTAAATCATTCAACAAATCGCAGTCAAAGTAGATAATATTATGGTATATTGTATACTATTACAGTATATTGCATATTACAGTATATCATAACAGTATACTATAATAGTAAATTGTTGCAGTATAACTATATACTCCTATAGTATATTGTATATCGTAGTAGTATACTATCAGGTAACTGTGTTCTTCGATTATTACAATATACCATTGCAGTATATTGTAAACTATAATAGTATACTGTTGCAGTATAGCTATATACTCCTACAATATATTGTATACCGTTGCGGTATATTATTGGGTAGATGTGTTCTTCTTCGATTTTCAACTGAAAATTTCGGTCTCAATCACTTCAAATCAGCTCCAAATGTTATCAAATTTTAGTATGAAGTTCCAGAAGGTACTATAAGCAATATTTAACATATTCAAATGTTACTAATAATACCTTCTGGAAGTTCATACTGAAATTTGATCACATTTGGAGTTGATTTGAGGTGATTGACATTGAATCTTTCAGTTGAAAATCGAAGAAGAACACAGTTACCGAATAGTATACTGCTACGGTATAAATATGTTGTAGGAGTATATAGCTATATTGTGACAATATACTATTATAATATACAATATACTGCAACGGTATACTATAATACTCGAACAAGAACACAATTATCTAACAATAGACCATTACGATATATTATATACTATAGGAGTATATAACTATACTACATCAGTATACTATTATAGTATATAATATATTGTAACGGTATATGGTAATAATGTGCAGTATACTGCAATAGTATATAATATACCATAATAGTATACTATTTTAATGTAATAGTATAATGTTGAATGAAGAACATAAGATATCATTTTCTTATATTGTATGCTATTTTGGTATACAATATATAATTCAATAGTATTTAGTTTATGCAATAATATATTATTATCATATAAAATATAATATTATAATTGGGTCATTTTTAAATTTTTTAAAATTTTTAACTGGATTCTTTTTAAATATTTTAACAAAGTTCTCACGCTTTTTATAGTTTTTTTTCATAAAAGAGGTGTTAGATGGAATTCCATGGAGATGTTATCTACAGTATTAGAAGTAGATGTACAAATAGATATAAAGTAATAATATGCCTATTTGTAAATTTGTATACTAATGTGCAACATATTTTACAATAATATTAGACACTAATATGTGAACGAGTCATCTATAATACTTTGTCAGTATATGATATTATACCATGTTGGTATCATAGAGGATTTAGTGTGTTTTTATAAGGAATGAACCAGACCTCTATAATACCGTATTAGCATATGATATATACCATATGAGTATCATAGATGACTGATGGTCTTTTTTTTTAAAGAATTCGACATGTTCTATATTTATCCTATCAGTATATAATATATACCATATGGATATCATAATATACTGCAACAATATACTTCAACTACCACTAATATTATTTTTGGTATACTATACGCTAGAATAAGTTATTTTTTATTAATTAAAATATAAAAAATAAAAATAAAAATAAAAAAATATAATATATCAGTTATTTTTTTAATATAGTGAATAAAGAAAGAGAGAAAAATATTTGTAAAAAACAAAAATAAAGAAGAAAAAAAGGTGTGCAAAATTAGTGTAACGACCCGGCCGGTCGTTTCATGAGT